CCACCCACCCCCGTGGCTGCAGCTGCTCTTCTCCCTGTTTTATGAAGAAGCGCAGCAGAGAAGGATTGTTTAAGAAACTGAGATCTTGCACTTGCAGATCCTCAGGATCCTGCTCAGATGTGAAGCTTTCAGAGCGGATCAGTGCACGGTTACCCTCTATCTCCATCTAGTGTTTAGGGTCAGAACTGTCATTTTATTTAAAATGATTTTTATTGTCTTTAAAGTTCTGAGTTCTGCTCGTTTGTCTCACGTAGGTTGTGCAGGATGCGGTCGAGACATAAAGAACGGCCAGGCCCTCCTGGCTCTGGACAAGCAGTGGCATCTGGGCTGCTTTAAGTGCAAAGCTTGCTGCAAAGTGCTGACCGGGGAGTACATCAGCAAGTAAGCAGCTGCTCTCACACTCTGTTTGGTCACATTCACACGTCCAGAGGATTTGCACCATCAGAGCAGAAATGCCGTCTCTTGTTCGAAATCAAAGCCAAAATGTATTTTATTGTTTTACTTTTATTTTTTGGGAGCTGCCATGTTGTATTTTGGGGACCAGAGGCTGCACACAAAGGATGTGGGTCTGTACCGTTGATGAGAAAGTCCCGCCCTCCCATATACTCACTGTTATAATACATCACTTTTCTGTAAACAAAACAGACAAATAAAGCTATAAGTATGTTTTAACAGAAAATAGGAAGAAGCAACAAAAATCAACACTATTGGAATTTTTGCTGGTTTGGTTTTTTGTGCGATTTTGGAGGGGGGAGGGGGTTATATTATGATTTGTGTTTTTTGTTAGTGCTCATTAGGAACACCTGAGAATATTGTTTAAAGTTAATTTCGATTTTAGTCGGAAAAGTTTTGCATACGTGGAGGGGCGGGGCTTAAAAAGTGCACAACAGTCAGTCTTAATGTAAAAACCATTTTCACTGAGGGCCACATGAGAATCACGGTTGTAATTAACTTCGACATTTTGTGTTTAACTTCAAATAAACGCAAAACGTCTCCTTCCTGATCCCCGCTAACAAACACTAACTGTGCTCTACCTGGTATTTCCTGCATAGAAACAGTGTTTTAACACTTCCTCTTATAAACACTGAAAAGTACTACGTGTACGACTGACTGAATGTGAAATAAATAAAACAGAAACACTAACAAATGTAAAAGTAAGACAGTTTTACTCACTGATGAGCTGTGGTGAGTGCTCCGACTGGGAACTCCCACTGGAGGGGCATTCTAGTTTAACTTTATGACTTGTAAGTGGGAAATTCCCACTTCCCAGTACAACAGACACAGCAAAAGTAGCAGGCGAAAATGCAACAAAATGGAGATTTTAATACGGCAAATTTTTAAACCCGTGCAGCGCCACCTGGTGGTGGGATGCAGTCATTTCACAGGTAAAATATTCAACATGCATTATGAGATGTAGTTTATGGTCAGTCTGAATTTTAAAACATTAATACCAGAGATGTAAAGTAATTAAGTACAAATACTTTGTTACTTTACTTGAGTAATTATTTTTCAGCCTACCTTTTACTTCTACTCCTTACATTTTTTTAAAAAAGACAAGAAGTAGAAAGTCGTTACTTTTATTTAATTTTTTTATTTTTCTGGACCTTATTCCAAATCAATGCGGTACTGCTGCCTCTGCGGCCCAAAGTTAAAAGCTGTTGTTCTTTTGAGGCCCTCAAGGTGGCGCTCACAGCCCAGCTGCTCTAGACATTCCCCTTTGACATCATTTCCTGTTTTGTCACATGCAAATATCTCAACAACCATTCATCTCAGTGACATGAAATCTTTTACTGTGATGTGTTATCAATGTTCTCTCTTTAAAAATGCATTCATATTTAATACCACAAATTGATGCCACAGGTGCTTTAAAGGGTTTAAAAGTTTCAGTAAAATGTAAAAAAAAGTGTTTTCTTTATGTGACAAACAGAACAAAGCTTTCCGTGATGATGGGAGATAAAACTTTGGCATCAGAACCTAAATTTAAAAAAACTCCGGTCGTGTTTGAGGACAGAGCTGCACCTTTCAGGGAGATCCTCTGAATCTCTTCCTGATTTCCTCCTTTGTGAATAAAACAGGCAGCGCTAAATAATTCATGCACCTCCTCTCCTCAGGAACAGGGAGCAAGTTGCCCTAAAAGACCCCACCTCTTCCTCTTCCTCTCTCTCTCAGTTGCTGTTTGAGGAGCTTTTAGACAAGGTCACCTATAAATAAGGCATGCTGATTCTGTTCACGTCATTATCGCAGCCTTCTTATGCCTTTAAACCCCCCCCCCCNAGGACTGTACTTAAGAAGTATTTGTATTTCATGAATTATATTATTACATTTGGCCGCAGCCCTCAGATAGATTTTCATTTTGGGGAAAAGTTTTGTGCAGCCTTGATATATGTATATAAACTGAAACAGCTGGACTAGTGCATCCTAAATTTAACATCAATTCATTCTTTTAATACAACAGTCATTTCTGCAGTTTAGGTCACCTCCTAATAAATGTCCTTACAGAAAATCTAACTGCTCATTTTAAATCTATACTTTGACTTTTAATACTTAAGTACAAAAAATATCAGATATTTTAAGACTTTTACTCAAGACTCCTTACTCAAGTAAGGAGACTTTAACTTTTACCAAAGAAATTATTTGGTAAGATACTTGTACTTTTACTCAAGTATCACTTTGTGGTACTTTATACAACACTGATAAATACATCTTTGAAGCTCTCGCCCACGGGCCTTGAGTTTGACACACAGGTCCAGACTAAATATATGAAAGAACAACTTGACAAGGAATAGTGCGCCGTGAACGTTAGTATTTGTGGTTTTTTTTACCTTTTTTGATAAAACTTTATTTACAAAAAAGTGATGCAATCTAAAATCTACTCTAACATATTTTCTCTGCTTTTGTCTTGTTTCATTTAGCTTTTAGCTTCTCTCGCTAATTGAGATTTTAGCTGCAGTTTTGCCAATTTTAACTTTTAGCTAATTGGATAATTTCAGCTTTCAGCTACCAGATTACTGCGTTTAGCTTCTTTTCAGATTGTTTAAGTCAATTGACTTCAGTCACGTCGTCCAGAAGTTTTGCAGAAAATTAAATTTTCTCTAATAAATCAAAGATTTTTGGATCCTGATTTGATTCGCCTCTCTCCTCTCTGCAGGGACGGCGCACCTTATTGTGAAAAGGACTATCAGATCCATTTTGGAGTTCAGTGTGAGGCGTGTCATCAGTTCATCACAGGGAAGGTGTTGGAGGTAAGAGAGGTGGAGACGACTGATCGGTGTCTGGCTGTGCAGTCGTCTGATACTTTAAATAATGAAACATAAATGTAGAGGTTTTGCACTTCCTGCTTCCTGCGCTGGCAGATACCGCTGCGTGGAGAAACAACTGTAATTTGTCGTTTCATAATCTGCGGTGTAATCCCTCCGCCGCCGAGCCGAGGAGACTCCTGACATGACTGTAATCGTCTAAAATATTAATTCTTTGCAGATGTTTTTGGTCGTTTCAGCGTGACATCCCCGCGAGCAGTAAAGCTGCGGCGTTGCCACAAATGACATAATTGTTACATAAAACCTCTTTAATGTCGTCTGACATTTAGGATCATTATTTATTTATAGACTCTAAATCTGGCTTTACATCAGGGTTATCCAAGCTCAGGTGCAAATGGCTAAATTGTAATAATTTACTGGCGGTTTGAGGGTTTCAGACGAGCTTTCAGTCGCTCAGTTTTCATTTGGTTAAAGGTCATTAATTAAATTGATTATCGTTACAGAAAATAATGAAACAAATATTTCTGTGCTTCACCTCGCAGTTCTTCTGATTCTTCTAGAAAACTTGCAGGAAAAAGTGAAAGGATTTTATAAATGCTGAGTCATCGTTCACACCAGTTTTATTATTTTTCTGTACATATTTGAAACTTAATTACTTCTCCATACTTTGTTCTGTTTTAGTTGTTCTAATATCAAAACTTTCATCTCATTCTGGAGATAAATGCTGCAAATTTTGTGTTTTGTCATTTTTAAACTTTTAAAAATATTTAACTTTATTTACAAATATTTTCTCCATTGAAACACACGGAGAAATCTTTCTTTCATATTAGTTTTGGCAAACTTGCTCTAGGTCTCTACTGCTACATTTAGCTAGCCTTTTGCTGCTTTTAGCTTATAGCTACCAATCTGCTACTTTTACCCTTTACATTGTGTTTTCTACTTGTAGTTTTTTAGCCCAAATTGTCAATGTTTGACTTATATCTCGGCTTTTTTAGGCCTCTTTTAGCCTTGAGCTCCCATTTTGCTCATTTTAGCTTAAAATTAGCAACTTGCAACCTTTAGCCTTTTTGCTACATTTACTTTCTAGCTAACTTTTTCATACTTTTAGCTAGTATTTTGCAACTAAGCTATGCCTTACTTTTAACTTTTAGCTCGGCTTTTCCTGCTTTTAGCTTTTAGCTACCGTTCTGCAGATTATAGATTTTAGCTAGCTTCTTTTAGCCATCATTTTGCTATTTTTATCTGCGATATTTTCCTTAATTTTTGAATCGAGCAAGCCTTTTTCTACTTTTAGCTTTTTTTTAGTATTTTGCTACTTTTAGCCAGTGTTGTGCATCTTCTAACTTCTAGCTAATGTTTGGCTACTTTTATCTTTAATTATTCAGTTTGTAAACACTGCTGTGCAGCTCTTCAGGCTTTAGGTTCAGCTTCTGTTTGGTTTCTGCAGGCGGTGATCCGGTCAGACACTAAGTTATGAGTCTGACTCTAATCCAGCACTAATACAGGCCTCTACAGTGAAAGGAAAAGACCTTTACATGTTTCCCTCTGAGCTGCTGCCAGTGGAGCTAAAGACAGATTATCATCAGTCTGTGAGAGAAATAAATACAGGACAAACACCATCGAGCCTTTTGTGACTAGTTTAGGTCAAATGAAGGAAACTAGAAGAGACATGAACAGAACTCCTTTCAGCCCAAAGTTTTAAGCCAATAGAAATCTTCAGTGGGTGTTTTTTTAATTAATTTGAGAGTAAAGTTGAGTTAAAGTGCATTAAATAATCCTTTGATGTGTTTTTCATACAGTTAAATGTTGAATGCAAATGTCTTCATATCTCCTGCGTGTTTCATTTGTGTGTTTATCTCCTGTGGATCAGAACAGAACAGTCTGCACACAAACGCTCCCTGCAGGACGATATGAGTTTATTTTATGAGCAGCTTAGAGGACGTGTTGATGTTAAATGTTTGTTTTAAAACCTCCMGGTCGTCTCARMGGAAGAGAAGGTGGTTCTGAGTTTTAGAAGCAGGTGGAGCTCCTGGTTTGTCGAAGTTCCTCCTCAGCTCTGCTCTTTGGCCGCGGACTGAGGCGTGTTTTTGTGCTCTGGGTCTTCCAGGCAGGAGATAAGCACTACCATCCCAGCTGTGCGAGATGCAGCAGGTGCAATCAGATGTTCACAGAAGGCGAAGAGATGTATCTGCAAGGTGAGTGGACCCAGATCCTTTCGGAATTTTTTTTTTTTGCTTTCTGTAAACCAAAGCTTCAGTTTAGGTTGAGAAAAACGTATTTGTTAAGCTGTTTTCCAAACGAAACCTCCTGTTTTAATGATCTGACGAGCCACACTGAGCTAAAACGGCTTCAGTTTTTGGGAAAGTTTTTAATCTTGACCTGAACAAAAAGTAACTAAATCAAAAAATGGTGAAAAAAAATAGAACACAATAGGAAATGGTTTTAAAAAATGTGTCAAAACTTCAAATAAGCCTGAAAATCCAGGTTATTATTCAGAAAATAATTGATATGATAAATATAATAAACAATGACCATTTTGTCCATCACCTTTTATGCCAGAATTATAAACTAAGATTGTTTCATCTTTAAAAAAAAAGTTTAACTGTGCACAATCGCATGTGTTGTTAATGACTTTCAGCTACTATCATACCAAATTTTAGCTCAATATTTGTAAAACTGTCAAAGTTACAGCTATTTTTGTGTTGCTAATGTTGATTAGCATCTTGAATGGAGAAGCTAATCAGTTGTAGACGTATATCCGTTCAGGAGTTCGTGAGATATTTCTCTAACAGACACAAACACGAGCCTTCGCCTTCAGGCTGCGGGTGGTAACGATGTGTCTTCCTTCTCAGGATCCACAGTTTGGCATCCCGGCTGCAAGAACACCACCAGAACAGAGGAGCGGCACAGAGAGCGGGTACCGTCCTCTTCGTCAAATTCTGTCACGTTTTTTTTTTGTTCTTTTCAAGGGAAAATAAAAAAAATTCAGAGTATGTGACACACGAGCTCTTATCGCTTGTTAAACCTTAACCTGCTGCGGTTTAAAAGAATTTGCCTGAGCCTGCGCGCGTGCATGTAAATGATATGTGTGTGTGTGTGAACCGTGAGTCGTATGAACCCCGCCTCTTCCTTCCTCCACAGCTATTGCCTCCGTCCCTCTTATTCCTCCAAAAAACAGAAAGGCAGGTACTGTATTCGGTATTGGCTATGAGATCACCCTGTCTTCCTTCATGCACATATAGGATCAATAACCTCTGCTGCCGACAGCTTACAGTGTGTGTGTGTGTGTATGTGTGTGTATGTGTGTGTGCGCGCGCGTCATACAGAGCCATTCAGCAAGCACACACACGGTGCATGAGGCAAAAGATTGGTCGGAGCTAGCTGATAAAAGATCATCTGCAGCCGTTCAGCCTCCTCATCTCCCATAAACGAGCATGAGATCCCCCCAGCATCAAGTCACAGAGCTAAAGCGCTCATTCACTTTGCAGATTTGCAAATGAATGATCTGTGTAAGAGATCATAAACTCCATGAGGCGTTAACGCAGGGGGGAAGAGTTCCTTTAATTGCTCATTAAGTGTTTTGGTTTAATTATGTACGACCCCATGTGTGACAAAGTTGAGACGGTGTGTAAGATTCTAATGGTAAACCCATGTTTTAGTCGCAGCGGAACGTAATTATAGCAACACTGCGAGGAACACCGGGGGCAGTGCCACTGGACTGGCAGACTGATGTTGRGGTTCCCCTCTTCGAAAAGTGGGTTTAAAGGGCGTCTTCCAATTATAGGGGGCATCACTCTCCTTAGCCTCCCCGAAGGTCTATTCAGGGGTATTTATGGCGCGGTATGAGGCTAGCAACTAGCATGGATAAGCTGGCGTTAGCGTTATAGAGGCTAGCGACTAGCATGCCTAAGCTAGTGTTTTGTTCTCTTTAGCCATTTTATGAGAAATATCTGTATATGACATTATAAATTTTAATTCAATATAGAGAAGCCTAATGTAACACCCTGACAAAAACTGTAAAAAGCTCCAATTTGATAGTTCTGGCTTTTCTCATGATTCGGCTAAAGAGAGAAAATAAAAACACCTCAGTCGACCAACAGACAGGTGCAAATGCATCTAATTCAGTTGGTAACTAAAGCTGTCTGCTTCACACAGAGGCGATTGCTCTAATACTGCAAGTGTTCCWGTTTTTTGGGGTGTGTTGCTGCTGTTAAATGGAAATCAACCTCTTTTTTTTCCCAAAAATGGTACAATTTCAGGGTTTAAACATTTCATATGGTGGTTAATTTGTTCTATTGTGGATAAAATTTGGTTTTAAAATTGGAAAATCTTTGCATTCTTATTTTACGTACCAACTTTTTCAAAACTGGGGTCATATATTCAGGTAGAAGTGTGATTTCAACAGATTAAGTGTCTGACTTATGTTTTTAGTCTAAAAGCTACTAATCTGATTGCATTTCATAGCCTACAAGGTCGTCGTCTGAGAGTATTTGTTCCAGACCTGGTTCAAGCATACCTGGCTCACCGGGTCACACCATCTATGTAAGAAATGTCTTTCAGCTGTGCAGTTTTTATCTAATAATGTTATTTTAGGCTTTTCAATGGCAGTAATCTTGTTTTWTCTCTTGTGTTTGCACATTTCATTTGTGTCCGTAGGCAAAAGTAGACAACGAGATCCTGGACTACAGAGACCTAGCTGCCATTCCAAAAGTCAAAGCCATTTATGACATCGAGCGTCCCGATCTGATCACCTATGAGCCCATGTACACGACCTCCCTAGAGGAGAGAGAAGAGAGACATGAGAGTGTGGCAGAGGTAAACACACACATTTACACACAAAAACATACTTTGTGTTTTCATTTGGAACCTCTTCCTCTACAAGGATTGTTTTTCAGTGATTTTCTGTTGGTTTTCAGCTTCACGGCACCAGGAGGGAACGTTCCCCTCTGCCTGATGAGATGGTAAGACGTGTGTGTTGATGAGGATTACGTAATATTTAGTTTTACAATAAATTAAGCATGTGAAATTGATAAACACTGAATAGTTATTACTTTTTGTTTTGGTCATAGTTTTGGAAAAACTCAGACAAAAAAATAAAACTCTACAAAACGTGCAGTTTGATCAGTGGGCTGCACGGTGGATTAGTGGTTAGCACCATTGAGTTTGTTGGCTGTGATGATTCTTGAAGAAGGGATCAGCCAAAACAAAAAAACAATTATTACAAAATTTTAATACAGAGAATAAAGTTGATGGATGTATTTTTGGGAAGTAATACCAGTTTTGTTTGGTTCTGTTTAGTCTTTAAGAAACATGTCTCCAACTCCAGAGGTGAGCCAGCTGTTACCTTTTTTTGCTTTTTAAATCTTGTTCGGCTGTTTAATTTCAGCTGTTTGAGTAACTGTGTGTGTGTGTGTGTGTGTGTGTGTGTGTGTGTGTGTGTGTGTGTG